TTTTTTTGTCCGGTCGAGCAAGTGACCCCGGACCACTCTGGTAGCCTAGATTTTAAATCTTAAATATGACAAATATTTTTAATTGTGGATTTCGATAATTAGTTTCGGTATCATGAAAAATACACACAACATGATATGATACTACCTTATGACTTGGAATAAAATTTATAAAGCCTTATTTATACTTATGTATTTTATGCTTATGTTTACGATTCATCTAAAAGAACTTAATTGATTAAAAAATCGTATACGGGCAAAATGCTTGATCGAGCTTCAAGAAAAAATAAATGTACAAACCTATATTTGAGCATCTATTTCCTTTTTGATATTTTCTGTAAAGTTATTTTATAATCATTAGAACTTAGCGATAAGGACGAAAAATATGTATATTTTCGTCATAATCATTCGATAAAATATCCCCCCCCCCCCCCCCCCCCCGTATACTGAAGTATTGGAAAACCAAGGTGAAAAGAAAAAAACGTATGAATAATATATTTTAAAACAAGATAAGTACAAAGAGCGAGTTGGTAAATTATTAGATCAAACGAAATCAACGAAGCTAATGAAAATTATATTTTATGTTATTAAGCAATTATAAAGATAAAAGGATAAAAAAAAATTAAAGATCCCCAAAGGATGAAGTAGCATCATAAACCCCGAGTCGCTTCGTTTTAAATTACCACACAACCCAATGTGTTCAAAGAATTGTGGCGACATACACAGTGGCTGCAAGGCGGTTCAACCAACCTGCATCTAGAGGATTGTCCGCGGTTAACATTATTTTTAATACACAAATTTTTGAAATTTTATGTACTTTGTTGAAAAAAATGTCATGGACATAAATTGAGTGATGATAATTCTAATATAACTTTTAAAAGAAAACAATAATTATGGATGATAAAAATTTTGTGGCAACATAATCATGAGTAGTTTAGCTCCTCCCACTACAAGAAGAGGCAATAGACTTTGGGAAATGCACCACTTTGATAAGTGTATTTTCATGAATTCAGTGATTTAAACAGTGAATATCCTAGAGCACGAATGTACGATGCTAACTTATAGCTTCATCAAGGGCATAGGATAAATTCAAAGTTAAAGATTAGGGAATACATCTACCTTGCCACAAAAATCCGGAGATTCTTCTACCAGTTTACCCTTGTCACAAAAACATTTTATTTATCCAAGTTGTTTACCACTTCAATACTTAATAAGGAGTTATCACATTCAAAGTTTCTAATTATAACGTTAACTTTTAATATGAGTTTTAAGATAGTAATAATTGGTAATGACTTGAAGTATTGTTGTGAAACAAAGTAAGGTGCACTAGTTAACCAATCCGACTTTTGTAGATATAGAGACATAAGCATGCCCAAGTTAACCATTATTGCCCACGAAAAAAAAAAAAAAAAAAAAAAAAAAAAACTTTATAGAAGTCTACACAATTTTTATTTGACCTGCAATAAAACAGGTGACCTAACAAACTCGACCTTGGGTGACTAATAATTTTTATAGAATGTTGAGTGCACTAATTTTGGTGTACTTTTGTGCTCATAATTTAAGAAATAAGTAGAGCAAATGCAAAAAACCCAATAACGCATGATCAAGAAAAATGTTTAAAAATGTCCGACAAGGAGAAAACACTCTTACATACTTAATGGTTTAATGAAAAAAAAAAGAGTAGACTGACTAATTGAACTACTTTGTGGACATCTGCAACGATGGTCATTGTGCAATTTAACCATCAAAATGTTCATCTTAGTTTTTAGATGGATTCTTGTGACAAATAATATTTTTTCCGAAACGGCGCGGGCATGGCATCACATCTTGTTCCCCAATATTGTCACCCTTTTCTATTCAGTGGATGAAGCCTTAAAGTACATGACCCGTTAATTGTCATACTTAAACAAATAACTACGACCCATACAACTGGTTTAGACCACCGGTACCTTCGAACCACTTTTTCACAAGGTCGTATGCTAAAAAAATGGAACAGCCAACGACGACCTTTTCTCCAAGTTGTTTGGCTGACGCCACCGACCATTTTGGATTGACAACATTGTTCATTTGAATAACTCAAATTGGCGCAACTTCGATTTTTTAGTTTGCTTGGGTGAGGTGTTGGTGCTTTAAGGATAAGGGCATATGCACAAATGAATAAAAGTTTGATCTTACAACTTTTATAAGGGCATTGAATAGGCCGAACCTTGATGCATGATACTGCATACATTTTTCAGGGTATCACAAACCCGAATCTCTTTCCCGCGGGTTGGGGTTGCATTCCACATCTGCAGGGGTTTTGTGATCTTCTCAGCAATGTATGTAATGTGGGGGTCGCATTCCAAACCTGCGGAATGATGTGTAAAGTTCCTCTCTTCAATACAACAAAAAGTATAGATTATCCTTTCACTTTAGGTTAGGTCGAACTCATAATACAGACCTATATCACCTTCTTATGTTTTCACCTAGGGTTTTCATCTCTATGTATCAGGATTTAAGAGTCAATAAAGACTAACCGTGAGAGTCAAATTCTCCAATATCTTATAGTTTTTCAAACATCTCATAGTGCCATCCTAAACCAAGAAGACTTAAACGCAACTATTGCGCCACCGAATTTCATATGTAGCCCCTTTACAAACTATGCATGATGGTTTTATATTTATCATGACTTGTAAACAAACATTACACTTGTTATGACTCTCTTCTCCATTTTTGTCTTCTCGTGGATGTGATAATCTTCTTCATGTTATACCATCTTATTAGGATTCGGTTACTGAACCCGAATCTTCGCAAGCGAACACGAATAAGCGTCAAAATCCTCCGGGTGCGAACATAAAAATATTAAAATGAAGAATAAATTTTCAAAAACATCAAAAATATATTATGTAAAAAAATAATACAAAAAACTTTTGTTTGGGAGGCATATTCAAATTCTAAACCAAACGCGAATTAAAAATAAAAAGTTAAAAAAACCTACAGAAAACATGTTTAACCGAACACGTTCGGAAGGTGTTCAGCCGAACATCTGAAGGTGTTTGGGCTTGCGAAACCCGGAAGCCTTCGGTGCGCTACACAAGTTTTTGTACTCGTCATTACTGTTATTTCTTTCAAACATGTGTCCGTTGTGTTGGTCTCTGTGATTATCATCATCATCATCGTGCCCTCTTTTGTGTAGTCTTTCAGGTCTTATGCAGTTTTTGTTTCAATTCAGTTTAGTTTTGGAGCTTTCCACTTTTGTAATTTTACTTTCAAAACTTTTATAGACTTGTCAATAGTTTCGAAGGCAAAATTTGGGCCTTGACGCGGCCTCATTGGACCATGTAACACTAAATGTAATTGGAATGCCACGACGTCCACATATATGGGCACCGATCAAACATTTTGAATGTATGGGAACCAAAAACATAGGTACAATTGAAATGTTATGTAATGCAACGTGCCACTTCCTCTTAGCGATCTTTCCAATCTCTTATTTATGAAACTGCGCCTTCAAGTTTCAATTTGTGATCAATCAATGTTGGTTCCCTGCACAAAACCGGGAGTGGAATTGCACCACCATAGCCTTTTTTTCTCCCCTTTCATTTCCCTTACAATTTTACTTCCTCTTGCACAACGTTTGCTTTCTTGCATAACACGAAACCGCGTGTTGTTCTCCCCGACATCCGTTAAACCACCACTGCCCCCGACTGCTGAAATTCGACTATCCTGGCAATACGAACTGAGAGAGCAGGACTAGAAGGAGAAAGAGAGAATGAGTGAGGGTTGAGTATGTGTGCAAGAGCGGGTATGTGTGACAGTGAGTGCATGTGTGTATGTGTGAGAAAGAGACAGAGAGGGGCTGCCTCGCTGAAAACATCCCCAACCATTTTCCCTCGAGCACATGGTTCAGCGAGACTGATACAATGTTGATGACATTATGTTCTATTCAAGGGAAACGAAAGTGGGAAAGGCGATATGTGAAAATGAACGAGACTCACACACACACTACACACA